CACCCAGAACCGTTTATTATTATTATTTTTTTTTAATTTTTCCGAGAAATAACACTTCGAACTGAGAATGGCCAAAAAAGGTTGGTATTTGATCGTTTTCGAAAGCATTTTTTTTTGTATTTGATTAAAGAAAACATCGTTGGCAAATGGCTTCACTTTAGGTAGTTACTTCAAGTGATAATCAAACCATTAGGATTTCTGTTAAACGCCGGAGAGAGTGATGAAAAACTGCGAGTTTTTTGGTTTCGAATCCACCTCTTTTTTCTTTTAAGTTTCAAAACGAATTTTTTTATTTATTTATTTTTTTTTCGAAAAATTGTCTGAAAGAGTCATGGCAGAAGCTGCACCCAATTGCAAACCGACATCGCCCATGGTTGCAAGGAACTTGCGCCGCCACAATTGACATTCTCGGAACCCTAAACTTTCGTTTTATGATTGTGATTAGGAAATGCCTCCGGTTCCATATGTTAGGTTAGCCAAAATGTTAAAATTTCCAGGAAACGATTGAAAGAAGAACCACTATTGAAACTACAAAATTTCGAGTTGGCACATGTTCGCACAAACTTTTCCAGATTGAGTGCACCCTAATAAATTCTTTCAGAAGTGTTCGTTTTCCCAAAAAGCTAAGAGAGTAGTGATAGTAGCTACACCAAGTGCTAGATGGTATCGTTCATGGTCTAAACTATGGCCAGATCTGACATCCTTCAAAGCTCAAACTTTCGTTTTGGGATCAATGTCGAAATCACTTTAGAAAGCCAATGTGTCCATCAGTTTCCTGGCGCGTAAGTCAGAACTTTTGGTTTTGGCTACACCAATTCGCTCCAGGTTTAGTTATAGAATAGCCATTTCACCTATGTTAGTAATAAAATTTGATTTAATAAAACGGCTTGTTCCTTGAAGTTTCAACGCGAAAGCTTTCGTTTTTTGCAAAGTGACTAAGATGGCCATGATAGCAGTTTCACTCAATTGCTAGCACGCAACATTTGTGGCTGGAGCTAAGACAAATTGTGTTAATTTTCAAACCTATAACTTTTGTTTTTCTGCTCCTTAGCGCGAAAATTTTATTTTCCAGGGAAACAACTGAGTAAACCAAGACAGTAGCTATACAAAATTGGGAATTGGCATATGTTCGCACATACTACTCCATGTTGATCACCTTCTTCAATTCTTTTTAGCTTCAAAACGAACGTTTTCATTTCATCAAAAAGCTGAGAGTTGTGACACCAATTGCTGATAACTTTCATATTTGGATTAAGAACCATATTCGATATCCTTCGCTCCTACAAATTTCGTTTTGTGATTACTGAAAACATTATTAAAAAAATGCTTTCGCCTATAATTTAATCTAAAGTCGAAAACTCTCGATTTCCGAGAAACCTACTGAGGAAACCTCGATATTTGCTACACAAAATTGCTAGTTTGATCAGATTAAGATCGGATCTACCAATCTATTCTTCCAATGTTCCAACGCGAAAGTTTTCATTTCCAGCAAAATGTTTGAGAGATAGAAGCTACAGCCGAGGTAATAGATACAGCCAGGAAATAGGATGACGTCTGAAAATCTTGGAACATCTAGCTTTCGTTTTTCTGTTCCTATTATTTTTCTCTTTCCAATAAAAGAACTGAGAGAGTCACCATTGTAGCTATTCAAAATTTCGAGCTGTCAAGATTACAGTTTTCCCCAAAAGTAGCTAAATTTAATTGCTTGCTAGCATTTTCATAACCTTCTACCTGCGACTTCGTTCCGTGATTACTGAAAACATGGTTAACGAATGGCTTAACTCCCTTCTGTTTCTTTAAGCTCAATCCGAAAGTTTTGGATTTCCAGAAAACGATTGGAAAAACTATTATTGCTGGCATTGATTTTATTCAGAACAAGATATTAATATAAAGACCGGGTGATCAAACGAACACACATGAAGCCATTACGAAAACTAGACTCAATTGTTAGCTGACATCGTTTATGTTTAGATATGGAGAGAGCCTCATCGACCGGTTTGCGCTGGTTAATTAGTGATTTGCGGTAAACTTAAAAAAACCGACACTCGTACCAGTCCTGCTCAAAAATCAGACCTCGTTTACCAGTCCAATTTCTATTAGTTTTTTAATACCATCTAAAACCTAATGCTAAGGCATGATTTATAAATTTTTTGAAATTAATTTTTTTATAATTTTTAAATGTTAAATGTTCTCTTTTGCGGACTCATGTCCTATTCTAAAACTCGCCAAATTTCTATGCAAAAACTAAACTCGTACAGCTTACATAGGGCAACCCTGTTTCGAACTGCGTCCAACTTCACGCGATTGTTGGAAAATGTATTTGGGGAAGTCCCTAAAAGCTATTTTATCACAAATTTTCACGAGTTGTGTAATTTACTGACACAAATACTAAAAAATAGAAAATGCAAAAACAACGAGGATGAACCACTGTTTAAGTGAGAAATTTAGTAATTAAACATTACAAAAACCATAAATCGCCAAATGAGATATTTGAGATTGTTAATAGAAGCCAATCTACAGTTCAGTACATCAAAAAACGCTTCAAAATAGATGGATGTGCAGAAAATAAGTCAAAAATAGAACGGCAAATAATAAAATATTTATCGTGAATGATGAGAAGTGTATTTTACGGCAGATCAAAAAGGATCCATTTTTGAGTGCACTGAAGCTCTCAAAAATTGCTAAAAAGGATTAAGGAAAAGTATGTTGCTCTCAAACAATAAGAAATATACTACACAAGTCGAATTACAATGGAAGAAGAGCTAGACATAAACCTCTAATCAGCAAGCACATATCAAGAGATTTTCCATTTTGGAAGAATGTACTGTTCACGGACGAAAGCAAATTCAACCTTTTTGGTTCAGATGGCCGACCTTATGTATGGAGATAAGCAAATGAAGCGCTCCTTGCCAAAAATATGAAGCCTACAGTGAAGTGAAGTGGTGTTCCAGTAATGTTGTGGGGTTCATTTTCAGCGTCTGGACCTGGTGTATTGCATTTTATTGAGGGTATTATGGATCAGACTATGTGCCTTAACATTTTGAAAGAAAGTTTGCCACTCTGTAGGGAAAAGCTAGGCCTTATGTATGGAGATAAGCAAATGGAGTGCTCCTTGCAAAAATATGAAGCCTACAGTAAAGTAAAGTGGTGGGTCAGTAGTGGTGTGGGTTCATTTTCAGCCTCTGGACCTGGTATATTGTATTTTATTGAGGGTATCATGGATCAGATTATATGCCTTAACATTTGGAAAGAAAGTTTGCCACTCTGTAAGGAAAAGCTTGGCCTTGGTGAAGATAATTATTTTTTTTTTCAAGACAATGATCCGAAACACAAGCCTTATAAAGTGCGGTCATGGCTGCTATATAATTGTCCCCACGTCATGGATACACCAGTCCAGAGTCCAGACATAAACCCCATAGAGAATTTATGGAGCTATCTCGATGGAAAAATCCGCCAGCATTCCATATCTTGCAAAGAAGATTTGAAGAATGCTTTGCTGGAAGAAAAGGAAAAGGAAAATGATAAGTTTTTTGCTTTTAAATTACTTTTTTTGTAAATTTTGATTTTTGGAAGTTATAAGAAAAATAAATTTTTTTCTTTAGCTGTACGAGTTTCGCTTGGAGCCACTGTATTTTTTATTTCAATCTCCTATCCTGTATGCTCATTATTATTTTGGTGCTCTCTCAGCAATGTTCAATAGTAGCATAGACAAATGAAGATATAGACAACGAAAAGTTAGTTTTGTCTTTTTTCCAGGTGGCTCTCATCATGTTTTGCATAGTCAACATGCTGATTTACGCGTTCAAGCCACTCGACTTCGAAAACACATTTTATCGTTTTTCAAGAATTTCACTGGAATATTCCCATATTTTTCGATGTCATCACGTAATTTTCACATTTCTTTTATTCTGAAATAATTTTTAACTGACAAATATCCTACAGTTTTTGTTATTTTTAACATTTTTGAATTGAGTGACTTCAAAATTCCCACTCAAACCCCTGAAACGATATAGACGACATCTGCTGATCCTATTTTTTCGAAGATGAACGGTGAGAGCATTTTGTTGTCTATATTTTCATTTGTCTATGATAGTAGTTCGTAGATCATGCACACCTATGAATGAATCAAACCGAGTGTTTGAAAATAAAAATGTAATCCGGTGACAATCAATGACACTTAAAGGAATTTGGAGCAGTAAAATTCATGATTTGTTTATGAAATTATTCGACACACTACTGAGTTCTGTTGATTCGACGCCGGTCTCTGCTCGGAACCCCAAAGTTTGTTCTTCGTTAATTGAAATAGGATATCAAATATATAATCCACGATCCAATGCAGATAGAACAAAAGTCTTATTTTATTACAATATATTCGGATATGTGGAGGGTACTTGTAGTAAAATAATGAGAGGCGGGACATTGGGTGATCTACATGATCAAATGAATACAGACAATAGTGTAGAATCATAATGATAGGCTTAATCGTCCATATTGAAAAACTTGGGCAACGTTCGTGGATAATTTTCTCACTTATATACATAATTTATAAATAATTCTATTTTTTAGGATTGTCATAACCTTACCTTCACCTAGCCTACTTCAAACTACAAATTTGACTTTGTAGTTCGATGTTTGTAGCACTGTGTTGATGGTTAAGCACTATTTTTTTGGGATTTTTTTTTTTTTAATTCAGGTTAGTTTCAGGTTCAGAAGCGGGGAAAGCGGGTTCGGAAAGGTAAAGCTTTCCATTCAAATGTGGGTTAGTTCAAGAGAAACGAAAAAATGAATTAACTACAATTATTAATTCCCTGCTGGCAAAATTAGTGTTAGTTTTCAAATCAGTTAAATTCAACAACAATTAATTTAACTATTTTCTTATATTTTTGTTAATTAAAAAAAATAACTCAAAAAACGAGAACAGCTTAACTGTTATACAATTTATATAAATGTATATGTATATATATAAAATATATAATATATATGTCAAAATTAAGGCTTACTTTATGTAGTGTGGTTTGTTCTTCTAGCTGCATCTAATAGTTTTTTATTTGTTCGGTTTTGGTATTGGTATTGGTTTAAATATTTGGTTGTGGTGGTGGTTGTGGAGATGGAACGGTGGTTATTATTTGGTATTGGTTGGTTGTATTTAAGAGGAGTAGAGTAGTAAATAGTTGTATTATTTGGTAGTAGATATTGTTGTTGTAGTTGACGATGTTGATGATAAAGGTAGTAGTAGGAGTAGGAGGAGTTGTAGTAGATATTCGATAAATATGTTGGAGTAAATAGAATATTTTTCAATGTGAAAAAAAACAATAATGAAAAAAAGGAAAAATCGTATAAGTATAGAGCAATTTAACATTTAGAGGTATGTATAAGAGATATTCATATACTATAGATACAATATGTATACATAGAGAAATATTTATATAGTTGATATGTATTATTTTTTTATATTCACAACACAAGTAACATTTATCATGGAAAATAGTTTTCTTTCTTTTTTTTGGGATAGGTGATCAACATATACTACAGTTTTCATTTTTGTTGTTTTTTTTCTATTTAATAGCAACATAATTAATAATTCTCTTATACCTGAGATCTTTCCAAATCATGTTTAAGACGTTCATTTTCCAATTCCAAACGGGCTATACGCTGTTTCGTGGTCTCCCAATCGGCATTGCTGCGGCCCATTTCACAGGTGGCCTTCTCCAGCTCAGCCTTCGATTTGCCCAGTTCGCTTTGTGATGCCTCCAATTTGATTTCCAAACGTTCACGTTCGGTAACGGCACGCTCCAAACGGGTGTTCAGCTTTTCCACTTCGCTTTCCAGAGCTCGCAGCTTGATCTTGTAGTCGGCAATTTCACGCTCATGCAGTTCACGTTCTTCTTGCTTTTCGTGTTCGGCACGATCTCGCTGTTCTCGTAGTTGAGCCATTTGCTTTTCTTTGTCGCCAATGGCCTCTTCGAGACTTGTGAGAGCGCCCTCAGAACTGCTATGATGAGCTTGCATTGCCGACAGACGTGCCCGGGCCATATCCACCTGATTATCCTTCTCCTTAAGCAAATCTTCAAGATTTTCAATCTACAGAAATTATTGTTAAGAAACATCATCATCATCAAGAGGGGTGGGGGGGTTGAAGGGTGTGGTTCGGTTTCCAAAAAGAAACAAAATAATATGAAATTTTTTTATTAGGATTATTTGGTTTTCTAATAACACGTCTACTTGTCAATGACAAACTACAAAAACAAAAAAACACCTTTCTCTGCAGCACACATATTTTACGATCCTTGATTTCCATGTGATCCTTTAGCTCGGTCAGCTCGCTTGTCAAACGGTTGCGTTCTTGTACCGTTTGCAGTGTGCCCTGCGTTTTCTTCTCCAACAGGCGGTTCTTCTCCTCGAGGCGCGCCCTCAGCTCTTCAACATCAGCCTGCAGCATATTGTAGTGTTCCTCCTTGGCACATAGTGACTCCTTCAACACCGCAATATGCCGTTGGTAATCCTGTTATAAAAATTGAATTTTGTAAAAAATTATATTTCGAATAATAAAGGTACAAGGCTTTCGAACAGACTACGATGTTTTGAACGTAGGGAGTAGTTAACGCGAAGGATATCGAGGGATAGAAGGCATCTACATTTTTATTTGGAAATTGTTAAAATTTGATTGAAAATAAAAGCAACAAGTGAACACGTGCGTTAAACCAAATTGCGCGTTAAATATAATCGGTAAAACAACAACCACAGAGAGACTTTCCGTATCGGTCATTGTGGTTGTTGTTTTTCGATAATATTTAATGCAAAGAAGTACAAGTAAAAAAGCAGTAAGTTCGGCCTGGCCGAACTTTGAGTACCCTCCACCATTTGGAACGAATTTGGAAATTTTCAAAAAAATAAAATCCATTAAAAATGTTGTTAAAATCTTAAAAATACACAATACATATAGCCGAAGACATCGACCTGCCATTGCAATATTCAAAAACGAAACTTAAAAAAAAAAAATCCAGTGAATAATGTAGTTAAAATCATAAAAAACCGAATATATGGAGGTACCGTTATATCGTGGCTATACGAAGACTTGGACCTGCATAGACAAAAAGTGCTTTGACAATTAGCCTGGACTAAACTCTAGTTTAGTAAAAAGTCTATTTTTTAATTCTTCCACCGGATCTACTAAACCGCTTTGGGTAATAAGGATGCCTATATGAAAATACCTATCCAACAATAACAATATGTTTAAAACGTTTCGGGAGTTTTATCAAAATATTTAAAAAAAACCCAAAATCTCGAATTATATTTGAAACTATAACCTATCCAAAATGCTCCAGTATGTATCATTGTCTTTGTTATATCCACAGATATGGGACTTTGAATCCTGTCTACCGGATTGTGTTCAGTACATTGAATTGATGATTTCAGTATAAAAATCTTTAATTCTCGCTGCCGGTGCTGGACAACCCAGAGGAGAAATTCACAGGACTCGGCCTATGGCTAGCTATTTAAAAAACGTATATTTAGAAAATTTTTAATTAGCGTAGCCGGTTTTGGTCATAGCCAGAGGAAGAAATCTCAAATCCCAGTAGGAGGTCGGCTACCTAAAACGGCATTAAATTTAGAAAAACGTTGATAGGATAGGGTTGTCTGGGTCCAAAAACCAATGTCTCTGGATCCTGGAAAGATAAATGCCCATGTTGTAGCATTTTGGAGAGATTGGGGCGTGAGCTATAGTATTTTTTTACGGATTCCCGTAATGAGGTCTTTTTTAGTTTTTTGGGTCTTAAAAAAAATTCGGCACAAAAAATCGATAATTGAGTTAAAATTTCCGAATCGTCGACATTGTTATGAAATACCAAATCAGTGTCGACAACAATTGATACCATCCCAAAAGTGACTGCGCCGCCAAATAGAATAAGGGCGATCCATCCTTTGCATTCATATTAATCTCCAGGCCATGATGGCATCAACTGACTTCTGCCTGTAGAAGTTTTGCAATCGCTGTCTTGTATTATCCCACATTCGTGTACTGTCGAGAAGGGTAAGAGAGGTAAAAGGATCCTAACCTATGGAGCTCTAGTCTGGTGGCATTCCTTGAGTAAATCATCGCATTCCTACTAATAACCGGTGCATTCAAGAGCACACCTCAAGCTGCACTGGACACCCTACAGTGTGTAAGCCCATTAAGTGTACACTTAGAGGAACAGGCAATTAGGTGTGCAATTAGACTCAAAGAACTAAACCATTAGCGTTGTCAATCCTTTGGACATTCTGCGAATTCAGGGTGTGTAAGGAATGTGAGGGAGGAAGCCAGCACTAGTGATTACATCTCACCACTGTTGTGCTTTGACCCACCTGACATCCACATACCTGATATGGACACCTGGGCCCGTAACAATCTACCTTTCTGCGGTATTGCTGTCTATACCGGCGGTTCAAAGATTGAATGCGGAACGGGAGCTAGTGTCTTCTGTGACACTGTTCACGAATCCTACAAGCTTAGAAACGACTGTAGCTTATTCCAGGCGGAAATTTTTGCGGTCAAAAAAGCCCTAGACCTGTTGGTAATGCAGAACAACCAGGTTAGCAGTCCGGTACTGAAAGCCCTTAACTCCTCTACTATCAAGTGTAAGGTTGTTTTGGACTGCAGAAGATCCTTGGAAAATACTGGGTTGTCCATCCATCCATTAACTTAACCTAAGGTAAGAGAGGTCACTCATTGCCAGGACTATGTACTAGACTTCCACTTTTTCTGCTTAAAAATTCAAAAAGTTTATTGGACTTCAAAATGACATCATACCGTAGGTGTTGGCTAGTTAGGAATTTGCTTCTCAAATGGATAGAGGTCTTAATCTCAATATAAGTTTGCGGCGTTTATATAACCTCCACCTATATTAACTTTGTCATTCAATTGTAACATTCTTAAAAATTCGCCGTAGACTAGCAAAAATTCTAAGTCGATTTAACCTCTCGTGGACGATAAAGCCCACATTAAAGTAAAGCTTTATTTAGCAGAACAATTTGTATTGTGTCCAGGATGGTTGGTTTAAAAAATGTTATATAGGTCAATAGGTCGTATAGTCCCCATATTCGGTATTTTGATGATTTTTGCCAAATTTTTCCATTGATTAGTCTTAAAATTGGTATTTGCAGGTCATAATGGGTTATAGCTCCGGTGGCGAAACGTTGTATGTATAGGTCAAACCTTTTGTTAGCCTCCATATGAAGGTACCTCCCGATATTCGGTATTTTGATGATTTTCACCACATTTTTGCACGGAATTATCTAAAAATTGGTATTTGTAGTTTGTAATGGCTTCTAGCTCTGGGGGGCGGAACATAGTATATATAGTTCCACGTCTTTGTGTAGGCCTTATATAACGATCCCACACATTATTTGACGTAAAGCTTCATTTAGCAGAACAATTTGTATTGTGTCTAGGATGGTTGGTTTTAAAAATTATATGTATATAGGTCCACGTTTTCGTATAGTCCCCACATAACGCTACCTTCGATATTCGGTATTTTGATGATTTTTGCCACATTTTTCACGGATTTGTCCAAAAATTGGTATTAGTAGTGCGTGATGGGTTCTAGATCCTTTTGCGGAACATAATATGTATTGCTTCCCGTTTTCGTATATCGCATATATAACGATACCCACCCACCCACGAAATTGTTTCAAATTTGCTATTTCAAAAGATTTGGTAGATGACAATCCTTGAAAGTTATCTATAGACGTTCCCGTTCTGGCATGGCCCCCATATAACAGCCTTACCCACTTTATGGTGTTTTGAAAAGTTTAACAGCAATGTCCTGACGGTATTTGTAGTTTAAAGTGAAACATGTTTGAATGCATTTATTTTAATATAAAAATGTTTTCTTTACCCAATGACGGAGAGTATTAAAAGTTCCGAACGGGCGAAATTATTTACTTGTTTGTTATCAATAATTTAAACAATTTCCAAATAACTACATTTCATAATGTAACAAATGCTAAGACGGTCACTAAATACTTAAGGTTATACAATTCTACTTTTTCTTTAATTTAATTAATTTATTTTCGTTTACCTGATGTTGTTCTTCCAATGTTTTCATTTTGGCCGCCATGGCCAAAATTTCTTGATCCCTCCTCTGTATTTCAAGACGGAATTCGTCCAACTAGATGATTTTTTTTTTTAATTTTTGTTTGGGAATACAAAAAAGATTCAATTGAAAAAAAAAACACACACAAAAAAGTAGAAAAAGAAGATATTTTAGAAAATTTTCAATATTTGTTGTTATTGTTTCTTTGATTAGTAAAAACAATCAGACACAGAAGAGATGTCATGAGAATTACTTTGTGGTGATAATCAATGAAGTTCATGTTAATGAATGAAATTCAAACGATCGATAAACGTACGAAATGGTTAGTCAGTCGTCGTCCATTGTTTTTATGTGTTGGGTCACAATGAAAGAAAGGAAACTGAAAAATTATGGTAAAAGTTTTTGAGACATTTTCTACAAATTGTGTTCGGATGTCGGCACTAGGTATTGTCCGGTGGTCATTTGTCCATTGCTCAAATAGTGTTTTGTTTTCCAACATTCAACATTTCCGTTGACTTTGTTACCCTGTTTCTGTTGATGTATGGCTAAGATATCCTAGCAAAGTTTCAACTTAAGGAAAGAAAAAAGGACAGCTTGGCCAAAAAAAAAGTTCTAGACAATCTTCGAAGTCAATGATGGTTGATGGGTTTGTTTTTGTAAGTATATTTATTGTTTTATTTATTTTTTGTTGTTCTTGTTTTGTTTTTTTTTTTTGCTTTAATTACGGAAATTTATTTTGTAATAATACTTTTCTAGTTTAATATTTTTGTTATATCAAATATTCGTTTGTTGTTGTTATTTTTTTCCTTCTTTCTTTCGACAAATACAATAGTTGAGTTGAAAGTTTTTTTTTGTTGTTGTTACTTTTTCTTGTTTAGCTAGAAAATATTTGCGTTTTTTGTTGTTGTAAATTATTAGAAAAAGGAATACAAACACAGTTAGGTTGCTTGAGATACATAACTTATGCGGTAAATGCAAAACTCTTATTTTTTTATTTTTCTATTTTTTTTTTTTTGAGGTTATGTATGATATAATTATCTAATTGCTATATTATGCTTTGCTCATTTATTTATAATTGCTAAGTTATTATTTAATAATATTTATGTATCTATGTTGCTGTATGTGTATATGTTTATGAGTATATATTTTAAATATTTATAATGTTTATTATATTCAGAGGCAGTTGCATACACATGTGAGGGTAAATCCAAATTAAAAAAAAAATTAAATTGTTTTTCATAGAAAATTGCGAATTGGGACTTCCTTAAAAAGGGAAGCCCATATAGTATGGGAAAATAATAGAAACCAATTGACAAAGCCTTTAAAATTATAATGTGTTGGATTTACTTGGGAATTGTTTAATACTTTGTACACACTTTCTACGGCTAGTAAAATCATTACACATATGTATTTTGTTGGCCCCAAAATGAATTTGAGAGTTGTAAAAATAATACATGGAGAACTAAAATAACCCAATTTTTGCTTGGTCAAACTAAAGCAACTTTTTGATTTTTTATTTTAAAATAATTAAATTTTGGTTAGTAGTCCATAGCATAACCATTATTTTTGATAGCAGCTGCACACCTAGGAGGCATTGAATCTATAACAGGCTCAATTTGATCCTTGGGTATGCTTTCCCAAGCACCCTGAAATCTTTGAAAAATTTTGTGTTTATTAGTTTCCGAATATCGCTTGATCTTCCTGTAAGCGATACGAAAAATGAGCTCGGGGTAAAGCCATTGAAATTCCAAAAAGTGCAAGAACTTACACCGCAACCCAAAGAAAATAGACTCAAAAGAGGTAAAGAGTGGCTTCGCTTGGCAAAAGTGGTAAACTGCCGAATTTGGTTTTCTCCGATGAGAAAACATTCGTTGCCCAGCAGTTTGTAAACAAACAAAATGGTCAGATGTAAATGTGCACCTTCGGTTGGCCACCAGAACTCAAGCGCCGGCCATGGTGATTGTGTGGGCAGCCGTGATCGTAATCGACCATCATCATCAGAATAATTGCCGAATATTATCGCGAAAATATTCTGCAGGGTGCATTAACGCCTTGGCCACCCAAACATGTTGGCCGCAGACCTTGGACATTCCACCATCATCGCACTCAGCACTCGCCACACAAGAATGGTTACAAAATGAGGTTCTTCGCTTCATTTCCAGCGCACAATGGCCACCAAAATCTCCGGATACCAATCCGTTGGACTATTGTGTCTGGAGTATTTTGGAAAGCAAGGTTGACACCAAAAAATACCAAAGTGTCGATCACCTCAAGCAAGCGCTTCGCCGGGAATGGGCCAAAATACCGCAGAGCAACATTCGAGCTGCGTGTGACGGTTTCATTGGTCATTTGAAGGCCATAATTCGTGCCAAAGGTGACCAATTCGAACAAAAATAAACTTATTCTTAAATTTGATGCTATTTCCGACATTGTTTGCTTTCATTCAATAAAAGTTAAAATAAATGTAGAAATTATGGCGTTTGACTTTGTTGCAGTTTTTTTTATTTCACCCTGTATGTGGGAGCTATATCTAAATCTGAACCGATCTTGACAAAATTTTAAATATTTATTTCTGAGCTGTATCTGAAATTCAGTACTAAAGATTTTTGTTGCGGAGTGCATATTACTCATGTGAGGAAATTAAACCCCCATATTGGATGTAGAATTTCGAAGTACTGGCTTCTGGACGGAATTACCAAGATTTAGTTTCCCGATGTTAGACATTTGGTGCACAATAAACCTAATAATGGATACAGATATATATGGGAGCTATATCCTAATCTGATCCGATAAAATATAACGGAAGTATTTTTGACCTCCATAAGTTATCTGGTACCAAATATAATACCGAAGTGCATATTACGCATGTGAAGGGCTTAAAATCAAAAATCGGATGAAACATATATATGGGAGCTATAGTTTTATCTGAATTTTGATTATATCTTAAAATTTTATGTACTTGCTTCTAGGCTGAATACGGTCGGATTTGCCAAAATTCAGGTCATTTGGACAGATATTAGCCATTTGGTGCACAATTAACCCGAAATCGGTTGAATATATGTATGGGAGATATATCTAAATTTCAACCCATTCTCACCAATTTCAATAGGATTCGTCCTTGGGCCAAACAAATATTATTTGAACATTTTCATCCTAATCGGATAATAATTGCGACCTGCATTTTGTTTACAAAAATACATGGACAGACGGACTGATATGCATAACTCCACTCAGAAAGTGACTCTATGAAGATCCTCAAAAGTAACTTTAAACTATCTCGATTCCTTCTCCATTTTACAAACAAATGTACAAAGACATAATACCCTTACAACTATGTGGTGTAGGGTATATAATGATCAAAAACTAAAATTATTTGCCTTTCCGAAAAAAGGTCGCGTCTTTACTCGATAAAATTTAACACCATCAACATTCAACGAACATCAACGAAATTTATTTTTTATGAATTTATACTAAATTGAACTAGGACAGGTACTATGTGGACTAAAGGAACTAGATGAATCTAAGAACTGGATATAGTTCCGATCGTTCCTCTGAACTAATTCCTTCTGTACCAACACAACTCTAAAAACCAGGAAAGAAAGTCTTAAAGTCGGGCGGGGCCGACTTTATGATACCCTACACCACTTTGCAAATTTAGTAGAGCTGCGCATAACAATACACGATATGATTATAATTATAATTTAAAGTTCGAAGGATTAAATTTGCCGAAGCATTTGTATCTTTTAAATTCGGACTTGCATTGCCCATTTGGTGCACAATTAATTTGAAATCGGATAAAAATATATATGGGAGCTATATCCAAATCGGAACCGATCTCGATAAAATTTGGCAAGAATATTTCTGAACTGTATTTGATATATTTCCCTGAATATCGTTGTTACGGAGTGCGGATTACGGTTGTGGGTAACAAATATAACAAATCGGATGAACAGTATATTTGGAGCTATAGCTATATCTGAACCGATCTTCACCAAATTTTCGGTCGTAAGCGCCAAATTTCATCCAATTTGGGCTGATATTAGACGTTTGGTGCACAATCAAAGGTAAATCGGACGAAGTTATATATGGGAGCTATATCCAAATCTGAACCGATCTCGATAAAATTTAGCAAATGTATTTCTGAGTTGTATTTGATATATTTCCCCAAATATTGTTGTTGCAGGGTGCATATTACGGCTGCGGAGGACAAAAATAACAAATCGGATGAACAATATATATGGGAGCTATAGCTATATCTGAACCAAATTTGGCATAATTATTTTCAGGTCCAATCTGATCGTACGTGCAAAATTCCATACTATTCGTACTGATATTACACGTTTGGTGCACAATAAAAGGCAAATCGGACGAAGATATATATGGGAGCTATATCTAAATTTTGACCATTTATCTCCAATTTCAATATGGTTCGTCCTCGGGCCAAATAAATGATTTGTGCAAAATTTCATCTGGATAGGGCAATAAATGCGAACTGTACTTTGTTTACAAAAATACGTGGACAGGCGGACGGACGGACATGCATAAATCGACTCAGAATGTGATTCTATGCAGATCATCAAAAGGAACTATGGGTCTATCTCGTTTCCTTCTGCCTGTTACAAACAAATGCACAAAGACATAATACCCTGACCACCTTGTGGTGTAGGGTATAATCACTCTGAAAGCATTATTTTCAAATGTTTATTTCAATGGAATCTGAGCCCATTTACTACAATTTAAAATCTGTCCACTCATTTTAGGGTCAGCCTGTACATGTGTAATATAATGTTTGTATTAATTATTTATGCAATTATTTTTCGTAATAAGTAATAATTTGAATTAAATCAGCAAATCAAAGTGTGTACATAAGTAATGTTCGACTATCTTTGAAGTGTCACACATGATTGGATGGGTCGCTTTGTCCTTTGTTTTACATGGTTATGAATGTATATGTGTATGTACTTGGTAGTTGTTGTAATTAAGTAGTTTTAGCTACATTGTTGTTGGTATTTGAGTTGAGGTGTGTGTGTCTGTATATTTATATAAATGCAAATACAACACATGATTTTCTGGTT